TTTTTTTTCCACTTAAGGCTGCCATTCTCTCCCCTTAAGTCACACCTCTACTTTTGACTTAAATCCCAAGTGAAAGCAGGGTGCTGGTGGCTCATGCCTGTAATCCCGGCTACTCAGGAGGCTGGGGTGTAAGGATTGTGGTTCAAAGCTAGCCCAGGCAGGATAGTCCCTGAACCACCAGAAGATCCTAAATAGCACTGTGGCTTAAAGTGATAGAGTACTAGCCTTGAGCAAAAAGAAACTCAGGGATGGCATCCAAGCTTTGAGTTCAACCCCATGACCAGCAACAACAACAATAATAATGTCTTAGGGGCTGGGAAGGAGGCTCAGTGGTAGAGCGCTTGCCTTGCATGCATGAGGCCCTGGGATTGATTCCTCAGCACCACATAAGCAAAAAGAAAAAAGCCAGAAGTGGCGCTGTGGCTCAAGTGGTAGAGTGCTAGCCTTGAGCTGAAGAGCTGAGGGACAGCGACCAGGCCCAGAGTTCAGGCCCCACGACTGGACCCCCCCCCAAAAAAATAATAATGTCTTACATACTCTTCTGCCCCACTTGCCTTTGAATGGTGATCCTCAAATTTCAGGATCCTGAGTAGCTAGGGTTACAGGCGTGAGCCTCCAGTGCTCATCTATAACACACTTCTGGTTTTTCTATTTTTTGCTTATGTGGTGCTGAGGAATCAAACCCAGGGCCTCAGGTGTGCAAGGCAAGTGCTCTACCACTGAGCCACCCTTATAACACAATTTTAAATGGATACTTGGTTGGAGATGGGCCAGCCTCAGGAGGGTTCAACCTGGGCTGAAGTACACTAGTGGAAGAGGCGTAGTGATTCTAGAATGTTTAGGATTAACTATGGGAACCATCAGAGCACTTGGTGGTGGGGAGAAGTGGAGATGCAGTTCTGGAAAGGTAAACACACCATGCAAGACCCCCAGACCCAGGGGCCCTGTGACAGCCCGGGAGACTGGCGGGGTCCGTGAAAGGGGGAAGGCCATTGATCACACTGCCCTACTGTTTTTCAGACCAGTTGGATCACGTGCCTATAATAGTTTGTCAACACCTTCACTTTTGTTTTTTTTTTGTCGGTCCTGGGGCTTTGAACGTGGGGCCTGGGCGCTGTCCCTGCGCTCCGCAGCCCAAGGCCAGCGCTCTACCACTTGAGCCGCAGCGCCACTTCTGGTTTTCTAGTGGCTCAAGTGGTGGAGCGCTGGCCTTGAGCTGAAGAGCTGAGGGACAGTGCCCAGGCCCCGAGTTCAGGCCACACGACCGACAAAAGAAAAGAGAATCAGAGCCCATTCTGCTTTTGCCATGCGACGCATTGGCTTCCGCAGCTTGACCGCAGCGGGTGGGCACTCTGTCAGGGTGAAGGCCTGATGTGCGGGAGGGACCGTGTGCGGATCATCCAGAGCCCTTGGCTGGCTGCTGGGGGCCGGGGCCCGGCCCTTGCGTGGTGGTGACTCGTGGCCTGGGGATCCTTGCTCTGGGCAGCGTGGGTTGCGGACTGCGCTGCGCTACCCGCAAACAGACGGTACTGGCGCGCATTGCGTGCACACCGGCGTGCCCGGGCCGGCCCGCGTGGAGAGGGCGTCGGGGCCGCCTTAGCCGGCACCTGCCGCGGCCCAGCTCTGGAGGCCGCGTCTCCGGGCCTGGGGCGCGCGGGGCAGGCGCTTCCTCCGCACATCCACCATGATAAAACCGGGAGGTCAACTTGGAAGAAGCGGGGGGAGGGGGGCAGGAAGCCGCACCCCGATTCCTCCAGTGTGTGCCCACACCAGCCAGGCCCGGCCTGGCCTCAAGTCACAAGTTCTCCCTCCCCCCCCCACACTTAGGACACACTTGGGGCCCGGCTTTTCGGGGGGAGAAGAGCCGGGGAGCGCCGGAGGAGGCCCGGGAGCAGGTGTCCTCGCCGAGAGCCGGTTCTGCTCACCTGTAATTATCTGTCAGGCCGTGACACGTCCCCGCCCCGCCCTCCCCGCCGCGGCCGGCCGGGGACGCTCATTATGCATCGCGCCCCGGCCAGGTAGAGGATGGCTCCCCCCGTCACTCAGGGCTCGGGGGCGGGACTCGGGCCCCGGGGCCAATCACGGGCGGTGGGGGCGTGGCCAGGGGCGCGGGGCGCCTCCAAATCCTCGGAACTTCCTGTTTAGCGCGGCCATATTCACGGTCTCTGCTCCTGTGAGGGGGTTCGGGTGTCTCGTCACCGGTCCGTGTGGTCTTTTGACGAACTGCGTTATCCGCGAGGGGGGACCCCACGGAGGCGGCCATGGTGAGCGGGGGCCGGGCCCCGAGGGGTGTCCGGAGGGGTGGTGAGGGCCCGGCTGTGGGGGGGCAGGGCCTCGGCGGCGGGGGGGCG